CTTAGGGATCTTGGAGGAAAGGCTTCCAGACAAGAGACCCTTTCCCCTAGCTGATCCTCCACTGCCCAGCCCTGCTTCCCACTTACATTTCTATCCCACCTTTTCAAGATCATGAGAGTGATCGTACCGCTCTGTGCTGCACTGGTCAGACCACATCTGGAATACTGTGTCCAATTCTGGCCACCACAATACAAAAAGGACACTGAGGAATTGGAAAGAGTGCAGAGAAGAGCATCAAAGATGGTGAGAGGCTTGGAGGCTAAATCTTATGAAGAACAGTTCACTAAACTGGGGATATTCAGCCTAAAGAAGAGAAAGCTAAAGGTATGATAGCAGACTTCCTATACTTGAAGGGCTGCCACAGAGAAGAGAGTGTGGATTTATTCTCCATTGTGCCCGAGGGGAAGAACCAACGGGGGGAAGCTTTACTGGAGGAGGTCCACATTCAAAATAAGGGAGAATTTCTTGATGTGAGAGCTCTTCAGCAGTAGACCAGCCTGCCTCCTGGAGTCATGGGGGTTCCATCGCTGAAGGTTTTCAAGCCAAGGTTGGACAGCCATTTGTCTAGGATGGTCTGAGAATGTCCACCCCAAACAGAGGGCTGGACTATAATTTTCTGCTGTCATGGCCTGTTCTTCAAGAGCAGCACCATTGCCACTCCTAAGGCAGGGAGGCCCTCCACTTGCAAAATAGTAAAAGGCCTTCAAAGCTCCAAGACCAACAAATGCAGTAATTCTGTTTAATAAGAAAGAGTGCACTGAGATTTCAAGGCTAATGGGAGGTCTCATTTGTAAAGGCTACCAGGGAACAGTTAATTTAGGAGTTGGCTAATGTTCTTCTCCTGAAAGTCCTTAAAAAAAAAACCCAAAGAAACCAAACCTTTCATAAATGATATATATTGGATTGTTGCCCAGTGAGGAAATATCAGTTATGAATAATGTTTCTACCTCCATCATTGTCAGTGTTTTAATATTCCTAATTACTTTTAAAAGCTACAATATTTAAGATAGGAAATCCTCTTGCTTTAAATTTTAAAGAAGTATTCCACGGTTAGCCCCTTTTCCTAAATCATTTGATGGGGTTGCCCTAATTGTGCACAACTAGCAGACGGGCCTTGCATTTCCCAGTCTACTCAGATTTTATTTATATATTTATTGATTGGATTTATATCCTGCCTTTTATTCTTTCAGGAGCTCAAGGCAGCTTACAGAAGATCTTATTCTTCCTGGCAACAACCCCCTGTGAGAAAGGCTGAACAGAGTGAGAGGGCCTGGTCCAAAGTCCTCCAGTGACAATTTATCTGACTAGAACCTGGGTCTCCCTGCTTCTACTCCTGAACCTATCCCAATACACCTGACTGATCCTTGGGCTGAGAGGGAGGGACTGGCCCAAAGTTAGCCAATGAGCTTCTGTGGGTGAGGAGGGACTAGAACTTGAGTCTCCCTGTTCCTGGTCCAAGACCTTCACCACTTCAACCCACAGTGGCTGTTGGGTTGAGAGGGAGGGACTAGCCCAAAGCCTCCCAGGGAAACTCCAAGGCTGAGGAGAGTCTAGAATTTAAGTCTTCCTGCTCCAGTACCTTCACCACTACCCCTATTGGCTCTCGAGTTCCTTTTTGAATCACACTTATGTGCAGAAGCTCTCAGGGATGTGGGATCAATTGGAGAAAAAGGGATTGCCAAAGCTGCCTTTAACTGTCAGAGGATCTTCTGCTCTTCCCATGGTTCCTTCCTACATCCTTCCCCAGGACAACAGTGCCATCATTCACTTCCTGGCCAGCCAGCCAGACTTCCTATAAGCATTACGCTGAGCAGGTGGACCCCATACCTACTGCACAATGGGCCATTCTGAGAAACTTTCAGAGCAAAGCTTAATCAGATGACCAGTCCAGTTGCAATAATGCAGAGAAGATGGAGCTAACTTTGGGCCAGTCCCTCCCTCTCAGCGCAAGAACCATTCAGGTGTAGTGGGGAAGGTTCTTGAGTCCCTGCTGGTGCTGGTTCACCACCAGAAAGAACTCCTGCGATCCACCTAACAATAGACCTGGCCCTGGGCTTGTGGCCCTCTTTACAATCCCCACCTTTGCGCCATGCCTGAAAAGAAGGCCAAAGAGTTGCACCAGAGATTCAACTCCTCCTTACTACACCCACTCGAGGTTTTGTTATACAAAACTCTCTTTTTTCTGCCAGGCCAAAATCTTGAGATCTTGCACATGAAGCAAGGGCCCATTGTATTCGTAGGCGAAAAATGAAGGATCTCAAAAAGAAGAGATGGTGATGAAAAGGCTAATTCAGAAGAACAAGACTTCTGGCCAATGTTTCATAATCATTTTTACAGAGGGCTTTTTAAAAGCTCTCTAATAATAGCGACTCAGTATTTCATGCCAACTTCTTCATTCTCTCCAGCCTTCTTATGCGTATGTGTGTGTGTGTGTGTTTTCTTTTCTTAAGATAAGAAAATGTAATATCCTTAAGGTGTTGTCTGCCTTGCTTTTTGTTAGGCAGGCAGGCAGGCAGGGAGAATTGGGGTACAGCCCTGTAGCAAACCATGTGCCTTTCCCTGCCAAAGGTCCCAGATTCCGCACTTGAAAAGGCAACAGAGCATTAGCCACGGAGGCTGTGGTCTTTCCTATATCATTGGTGTACAATCTGAGGAATCAGGATCACATATAGCCTCATAAAGTCTTGGGCATGGATCCCAGAGGTCTTCGTTTTCCAATGAGACTTTTGTTGTTGTTTTTTTGGTCCTCAAGCCAGACATCACTCCTGGTGACTTCATGGACAAGTCCCTGCAGTTTTCTAGCCAGCATTTCTGGGAGTGGTTTGCCCTTGCCTTCTTCTTCCCAGGGCTGAGAGAGAGTCACTCAGCTGGCTTTGTGCCCAGGGCAGGACTGGAACTCATGGACTCCTGGTTTACAAACACCAGCACCTTCACCACTAGACCAAGCTGGCTGTCAATGCATGGACAAGTCCCTGCAGTTTTCTTGGCAAGGTTTTGGAAGTGGTTTGCCCTTGCCTCCTTCCTAGGGCTGAGAGAGAGGGACTGGCCCAAAGTCAGCCAACTGCTTCATGCCTAAATCAGGGCTAGAACTCATAGTATCCTGGTATCTAGGCCAGCACCTTCACCACTACACCAAACTGGCTCTCTTACCATCAAGTACAGCCCTTCTCTGATACATATTCCACACCACATATCTAAAAGATGCTTAAGCAATTCAGCCTTGCAAATTCAGTCTTGCAAGCCACTCTGAGCACCATAAGGTAACAGAACATGGCAGTGAAGGAAGGAACGAGTGAACTCAACTACCATACAGACAAACTGGATCTTCGTCTACTAGATAGATCAGAACAACCATCCTCACACTGGCTCCTCTACTTGTGCAGGGATCAGAAATTCAGAATTCCAGTGAATGCCTCAAGCAACCGCTTCTAGAGAGTCATCAGTTTCTCAGGGAGCAGCAGAAAGCTAGGATACAGCATCATAGGGAACCCTGTCCTATTGCCAGTGCTGAAGAAAGAATCAACAGCTTGACCATCTGGCTCCTCTGAAGGGAGTCAGGAGACGCGCTGAAGTACCTTCTTCATTAGACTTCTCCAAATGTCACTTCCTTTCTTCAAAATCCTCACGGCCCCTTTGGCTTCCCCGAAAGAGAGCCTCCCCCTGCAGCTCTCTTTTCTGCCTCCTCTGTCCTCTACCTAGCCCATCTGCACAACGACACTGGATGTGGAGAAGAGATGTGTGATGTTGAACTCCAGCAATGACTTCAACCAACCTTCACAGCTGAACCTGAACCAAGGGGGCCACCACAAAAGGCCATGGCAGCATGAATCATCTGGGGAAAACGTCCCAGAAGTATCATTCTATTATCCTCATCTTTGTTGTAGATACTTGTCAAAATTTCTGATCAATAGTGCAAATTGGAGGTCATCTGTCTACTCAGTAAATTAATTGCAGTATCTCTCCCCCCCTTTGGAACCAGGCTGTTCTAGCAGAGTTAACAAGCTTTGTTCCATTATAACAGTGACAGATACATCGTCGCAGTTTGCATAACCTACCGATGTTGACTTTGGATGCCAACTAGACTTCTGCTTCAGCAGAAACTCACAAAGACAGCAAATACACTAATTTGCTAATTAAGAAGGCATTATGTGAATTAGGGCTTCTGGAAAAAGAAGGATTTGAATACAGCAGACCAACCTGATTCTTTCAATAGGAAATAGCCAAGTGGCTGGCGGTGAATCAGACAATTTCATCCCCCCTCCTCACACCCCCACACCTTTTCCCCTTGGAAAACAAGGCCATGATTGTGAAAGTAAGGCCACGGATCACAAGAAGAGAAACTTCAAGATAGCTCTTGCACAGTTCAGAGACCTTAAATAGGTCAGTGCTTCACTGTGGCTGTCACATCCTTGGACTCAGCCCAGGTAGAAGGTGTTTTAGAGGCTTATGAGAGAGTTACTGGAAAAAGGGATAATTCAAACTGACAGGGAGAGGAGAAGAGTAAGTGTGCCTGTGTGGTTTACCCAGGATCTTGGCATAGATCTAAGCTAATGAGCGACTGTAACCTCATGGCCCAACCACGTTGCATTCAGTAATCACACCGACAACCAGTTTTCTCTTTGGAGACAGAATTCCATTCTCCCACCTAGAAAGCAGAAAGGATCCCAACGCGTGAGAATGCAATGTTTTCCTTGCAGCAGCCTGCTCCCAAGGAAGAGACTTGGGCACCGAACAGTGAATGACTAATAGTACACGGATGACATTTGTAAAAAACGACTTTGCAGGGAAGTATCTAAGAATAAAACAGTAACCGAACCACTGCTTTCTTGGAACGATCCTTATCTCAAAATAGAAACACGGCATTTTAAGGAAGGGATTTATCATGGATACAGTCCATTTCGAAGACAGCTCTGCTATTGTCTGTAACGTAAGCCACTGTGGTAGAAGGCAGGTTATTTCATAATTATGGGATATAGAGGCATCTTTGCTCTTCAACTCACCACTGGAACAGTCTGGCCCTCCCCATCCTGGTTCGCAGTGACAAGTGTCAGGAGAAACACACCGTCCGTGGACACATTCTTCAGTGCAGAGAGCTGGGAACAGAAAGAGATATACATTACATCAGTGTTATGGGCCGGAAAAGCCTGGCATAATACGTATATGCTATTATTACAATTTCAAGCAACCTAGCTTGCTACGATATGTTTTTTTTTAATTCCCAGAAAATGTAAAAAAATGTCAACATGGCTTGATAGGGCAAGCAGGATGTCCTGAGCCAAGGCACTTGGGACATTTCCCTTGAATTAAAACTTTGGTATGGACCCCCCTGCCAGTCCTTGGAGTGCCACCTCCAGCATACCCCTCAAAAGCTGTGTGACCCTCAGCCTGGAAAAAGGCAACTGATAAGCTGTGATTTAGATTAAGCCATCTTTGAAAGAGCCTGACAACCCAGTAAGTTGAAAATCAAGGCAGGCCATTGATTGATCTAAAGGTCCCAGTGTAGTTAGCACTAATTATAGTGGCTGTTCTTCTGATTCCTGGTAAGAGTTTTTGCAGCCCCATCTGGAGACAATGGGGACTAGGTAGACCACTACCACTAGGTAGACCAGACCAGGAAATCAATTCCACAGGAAGGCTAAAACTACTACTGGCTTTAATAACAGAAACTTGCAAGTCTGTGCTGCATCTCCTCCTCCTTCTAATATTCCAGTGAATCAGGAACCTGCAGGAACCGCTTCCAAACGTTATCTTCTTGTTCTGGACTTAAAAAATACTTCAATCCCTTCGGCCTATGTCATAATTCCTGAATATCTCCATCAAGGTTATCTTCCCTACTCTTTATACTAAGCTTGCAGGCAAAGGTGGTTCAGCCCCCACTGACCTAGGTCTCACCCCCAAGCAAACATCCAAACGCCTCTTTGTGGCCAGAGGCATCCATAGTGCCCCCTCCCCATCAATATAGCAGCCGTGACTATAGAATTGAAGGCCCACCTTTTTTATGCGTGTCCCACATGGGATCCATATAAAAAATGGGTGGGGCTTCATGCAGTTGCAACCAACATCCTAATTGTTTTGACCCTTTCCCAGCAGAAGCCCTTAACTATTGATTGATTGATTGATTGATTGATTGATTGATAAATCAGATTGGTATCACTGTCCATCTCCGAGCATAATTCTGGGCGGCTCACAACCAAAGTATAGAAACCATAAAACCGTAAAACAGAAGCTGAAAACCCCAGCACTGTCACGATGCCCAGACAACCACCCACAGGCACCCATCACCTACCCCGGGGCCTGGTAAAGAGTCAGGTCTTGATGGCCTTCCAGAAGGCTAGAAGGGTGGGGGCCTGCTGGGTTGCCAGGGGAGGGTGTTCCATAAGGTAGGGGCAGCCCCAGCAAAGGCCCACTTCTGAGATCTCACTAGATGGCAAAATTTCAGGGAAGGGACCTGGAGCACACCCACCCTATCCGATCTTGTGGGGCAGGCAGGGAGATACCCTCAGGGAGAGGTGGTCCCGCAGATAACCTGGCCCTGCACCATGTAGGGCATTAAAGGCAATAACCAGCACCTTGAATTGCACCTGGAAGGAAACTGGGAGCCAAAGGACCTCCCGGAACAAGGATGTAACACGGGCAAACCTAGGGTTGCCCAACTATGGTTTAGCGTGACGCTGACACAAGCCCAGTGATAAAATCAATGAGGAAGCTGTGCAGAATCAGAAAGAAGGATGCTTATTTATTTGAAAAATTTATATGCCACCCACTCCTACTTGGGCTCTAGGCAGCCTACAAATATCCATACACAATAAAAATCATTAAAAACCCAGCTTAAAAAAAAAATCTAGGCTGCTTTGATTGATGACTGGCCTCCCAGCCAAGCTAAGCCAGCCACAACTCACAAAATTAGCAGTTGCAACAACAGCTTTTGAAACAAACACAGGAAGGGCAGAAAGTGTTGTTCTGGTTGGGGAAGATCTGGGGGGTTTTAACCCTTTGCCTTCTTCTGCGATCCCCTTCTATATCCTGGTCCAAGGGCTTCCAGTGCGAATTTTAGCAGGAAGGATTAAAGCCATCCATAGGATCCCAATCTGAATGAACTGCTACCTACAAGTTGGAGAAGTCATGAATCTCTTGTCTCGTTTGACGACCAGAGAAGAAAGTAAACCGTAGTAGTAAATTAGCAGAGAATCACTGAGGGCCAAATTTGCAAATGCTGACAAAATATTAATTTCCTTGGCTTTTCCTCCCCTCCTAATGGAAGAACTATGAAATGCTAATTCAGATAAGTGAGAAAACAGTTATCCAATGTGCACGTTTAATGGCTGGAATACGCAAGACAACAGCAGCTAGTATCAAGTCCTCTGCTGTCTGTAACTCTATTGAGCATTTAATTACTGCTTTTTTTTTTCCTTCCTGAGCATTTGAGAGAGTTCCCAGGTCTCTGTAATCCTAAGGATCTCTTGTGGGGAACCCTAGTATTGTGAAAATAAAAGAAACATACACCTGTTAACGGTGATGCAGGCATGAAGCAGGAGGAAGATGAATCAGAACTTAAACTTCCAAGAATGACCTTGACTGGATTAACTAGCATTGTTCAACTGATCTCAATCTCCCTATCAGTAAAACATTTTTTTCTCCATTTTTCTGGAAGGGAATGAGCTACAGTATAAGAGACCTTGAGAAAGGCATGTTCACTATTCAACTGACTAAAAGTAGCAATTGGGGGCTTGATAGATCAGCTCTACCCTACCCGTGCAGTTGCGAGTCTCAGTTCAAGCTTCTGTTAGCACACATTTCTAGATCCATCCACGAAGGAAGAGGGAGGCAAGTAAGAGTGCCTGTCCTGCTGTAATCTTTACTTTAATTAATTTTTCATTCTATTAGCATGCCACATAATAGGATACACTGCTCCCCAAGGCACTTTTTTCTAATGTTCTTTTGCAAACGATCTCAACAGTTAATGGAACCATAAAAATTACTTGCATCAAAACAGCCAAACAAAAATAAAGACGCACCTTTCTTTCCTCTCAGGTCCTGCCCTCTTCTGCACGCCATCAACGATCCCCCCACCCCGGTGGAGTAAATAACGTTCCCTCCTGCGTGCGAGCGAAGAGAGGTGGTATTGCCTAGCAAAAGGGCCTTGCCTCAGCCAGCCACTGGAGTTCCACTTCTGCACCTCTCCTCCTTGGCTCACCCTTCTCTACTTGCCCACCACACACGGGATCATCTCTCCTGAACAATCCAGGACCTTGCCGATGAGTTTATTACTAGCATTCTTGGCATGAGAAGTGGGTTTGAGCCTGGTAATAAAATGACCTACATCAAAATCCTGCCAAAAATGCCAACTTGGAAGCAGACGCCTTTCGCGTGAGATACCGGGCTGCTTTCAAGCTCATGTGGTCACCATTCCTCAGTGTGGAATTTAAAGGGGGTGGGGGAATATAAAAGTCAGTAAAAAGAATGGCCCCCCCGCAATGCTTATTATTTTTTCTCTGCTATAACTGCAAACACCTCTTCTTAGGCATCTCAGAGTGGAACACTCTACTGGCATTAATCCAGTTCTACATTTTTCTTTCGACGTTGGCCACCCCCAGCTCATCAGACTCTTTCCAGCCCCAAAGCCCATTAAAGCAGCTGCTTAAAATAAAGCATGTTCTGCAGGATTGCATGGAAGTCTCAAAAAGGAGGACAGCCAACTGTAATTATTATTAACTGCTACTTATTATGAGGATAGAAATTAGCAATTAAACATATGCTTAGTACACCTTCTGCAAATTAGCAGGCTCCGTGTACAGTGGGCTACAATTTCTAGAGTCTGGCAGGACTGGCTGGGAATTCCAAGAGTGATTGTCCAATACTTCAGGAGGCCATCCAACTGCAGAAGACTGATATGGTGCTCTACAGATTTTAAAGAGCTTCAAATGCAGACCTAGATAATGAGAGCTGAATCCATCCCAAATGTTGGCAGATATTTTTTTTTCCATGGGAGGATGGTGTTTCTTTTTTGCTTCAAACTGATATACTGCTAAGTCTTATTATTTAGATTTCTATTCCACCTTTCCTCAAGGACCTTGAGGCAGCTTAGTTGGGGGGCTCCCTTTATTTTATCCCAACAGCAGCCACCCTGTGTAGATTGGGCTGAGAAACTGGAGTGGCCCTACCTCAGACAGTTTCCGTGGTGAACTTGTCTGGTCCTAGCTCAACACCCCAACTGCTATCCCATACTGGCTCAGTTACTCCTACTGTAATGAGTAGAAGGAATGACCTTGAGGAACAGAAGGAAGAGCCACAACCAAGACAACTGTCAGATAAAAGAAACCTGAGTCTGGGCCAGAACCGTAACCCGAGAAAGCATCCTCAGGCAAGACCCTCTCTAGTTCTCATGAAGATAAAGGGAGGAAGAGGGGAAGTCCATTCAGACTTACAAGATTCTGTTACTATAACCTTTTAATAAAAGTAGCATTAGCATGCATGACTTTGGTTTCTGATCTGGTCTACCTGGAAGGGCTGACAATTGCCATAGTAACTCTGCAAGGCTTGGGGGTTTGTTTTTGTTTCGTTTTTTTGCCTTCTGTAGAGAGTAAGGAAGATGACCTTGACGGAAATATGCAGGGACCATTGTCTAGGCAAAAGGGGATGAAACATGTCTTAAGTTCACAAGACAGATAACATTCAGAAGAGGCTCAGACAGACACCTCTCTAATTCACAGGAGTATATCAAGGGGGAGCAACACAATTGGACTTGCCAGATTCTGTTATGAGAGCCACTCAGTAAAAGTAATTTTAGTCTTCCTGAGGAGTTGACTTCCTGGCCTGGGCCACCTAGTGGGCTGATGCCTCTTAAATCCCCCGTGATGGAAAAATAATAAAATAAAGCTGGACACTCTCCCCCCTCCCCCTTGCCTCTCCAGAAAACTCTTTACGCCCCCCTTGCCTCTCTTTCTGCCCCCTTCCCCCTTGCCTTTCCTGCAATCTCTTTTCTCCACTTCCTCCTGCCATTCTTTGCTCATGCAAAACTAGATTAGCTCCAAGCTATTGCATGACCCAAGAGTGACCAGGTCCCGCTGCCAAAAATAGCCCTCTTAAAACTATC